GTACCCTCTCCTATCTGTTCCCTTTCTCACCACATTTCCAAGCTCACGCTTTCTATTATATGTTTTCGCCGCAGTGGTTACTTTAACCCACAGAAAGAAGAAGTGCGCGACTTCGCTACTTTCTGTGAGCTGAAGTGACCTGTGCGGTGAAATCTTGGAAGGAGGAGGCGTAACAATGTTTGTAGCTCACGTGTACATCCTTGACATCCAGATTGCCGCATTTACCTGGTAAAGACCGGACGAATTTGTCTCCAAACCCTAGCTGAAAGAACTGCGTGAGGAACAAAGAAGAAACATACAATCTTCCGATGGCTTACCGATCCATGGTAATTGACATAGAGAAAAGCAAATCCAGAATTGATTAAAGAAGTTACACTTCGTCGAGGCCATCTGAAATCTTTGTGTTATGATTCGTAATGATAGCAGAGAACAAAAAAAAGAGAACATGGTGACCAACCCAGCAACTGAGACGCCGTGCGGTCCTCCATGAGGACAAACAACCAACGGTAGAGATTCACCCTCGTTTGGCATCATCAGTACCCCCTCATATGGCGTCTCACCTGAATCAAATCTACGTTGTAAACTGGCTTTCATTTGAGATGACAAATCAGAAGCTACAAAAGGATCTATACAATTACGAGAAAAACCTGAAAGTGTTCCTAAAAATGAAGCAATTTCGCAGATCAAAATTACGTAAGGAAGCCCGCTCCCTCGAACGGAACCGTGGCCCCGCACACTGACCGCGGCTACGCCAAACTTTTAACTTTTTGAAGGTGACCTGGTGGTGCGGTTGTTCCGCTACTAACTCCAACCATTTCGAATGGAGATAGTGAGGTGATAAAGACGGCCTGCCATTATGAGTCTGTCTCTGCATATGCAAGCACGGTTGGTTAAGCATTGGGCTTTTTATGGAGCATTTCCGATCAGTTTCCTCCGCTTTTTCTCTACTTTGTCACTTACTACCTTGTCACCCGCCCAACTCCTCATTTTTAAACCCGGGGCGTGCCTTTAAATGAGCGCGGATGACCAGAATTGACTTGTGGCCCCTTATGACAACGTTAGCGCTAAGAACTGATCAAACTGCACCTTCGCGTTGGAAGCCAACGAGCTGCCAGTTGTAGTTCAAAAGATTTTTCCGTTTCTCAATGATCGAACAGTTGTCAAGTCGAGTCCAAACCATCTGAAAGAGCGAATTTGCTCACGGGGAACTAAACAGATTCAGTCAGCTCACACACCTCGTCTTCTTGACCTTTCACAGGTATAATTCCGAGGAGCAAAGCAGGCGGCCGGTTTGGAGCGGAAACTACAGCAAGGATATCGTCTTGGCAAACATCCACTACCTGCCAACTACCGTGACATTGACTGTGATTCGTCAGTCTGGCCACATGGCCACTAGAAACGTCTATTGCCACCAATTCCTGAAACATAGCGTAACCAATCTGTTCGTCTAATCTCATTTTCAAAAATGTACCATTTTGCTTCTCCAAGCAGTGCCAACAATCAAGCGACTTCCATCCTCGGTCCAACACCGCTGCGACATCTGCGTAAATGACAAGCCCGGAAATTGACAGGGGCGCTCAACTTCTTGCACGGTCGGTACGACAACAGTTGGAGGAGAACCATCGTATGGCCATGGCACCTGCAGACGAGACGAATAGAAATGAGTAGTGCTACACAGTATTCAACATATCAAAAAACAGCAGTCTTTCAGAGTCTAATTCAAAAGTACATGTACAGTACATCATAAACCGAGAGGAAAAGAGTGAGAATGGCACTACATACACACCTTGAAAAAAGAATAGCGAATCCACTGTGACCCACCTATCCAAAATTCGGCTGAATCGCAGAGGAAATCCTTCCCCGAATGTACAGGGGGGTGCAAAAAAAGTCACTTTCCTTCATTGACTTTCGAGGCGCTATAAGTTACACTTTATTAAATTCTGATCGGACATTTTTACCACCATATTAAAGAGCATATTAAATACTATCATGACACTCCGCCACAGCCTTCTGGACGAGCGCCATCGAGAGATTCTGGCACGCGACCGCGATGTGGTGCCTGAGATCAGCGAGATAGTCGATTTCTCCGCCACCGTAGACCACCCTATTGAACTCCGCCCGAACCGGGTAATTGAGGGGATTCAGGTCAGGTGACCTACTTGGATATTCCATCTTCTTTAGGTATTCAGCCCCCTTCCATTCCAAGTAGGCGAGAGTTTCTCCAACGCCCTTCGATTCCATGTGGTGGCACCCAATGCTGTAGCAGTACAAAGTTTCCAAGAAGGTACGGGCGACGACATGTGAGGAGGATATTCTTCACGAGTTGCTCGATGTAACCGCCAGCGCTCACCTTCAGTCCGGGGTCCACGAAGAAAATATTGGTCTTTCCATTCCAGGTACGTCCGGTCCATACCATCAACCCGCGCCTTGGCGACTGTGGTGAAGATGATGTCCTAGACCGTGGCGACGTTGTCGGAGCTGCTCGATGTTGGAGGTCATCCAGATCGAGAGTACTGGTCTCCAGGTAGCTATCCATGGGTGACTCCATACTAGAAGTTTCGCAGCTGTTTGGAGGTGACATGAATTCCAAAGGTCTTCTCCAGTCAGCGACTGGAGATGACTTCATATTTTGGTGTACATGAAGGTGATGGGCGAGAGCCAGCTCCTGCTTATCGAGGAACATCTTGGGTATCTTCCGCCCTGGTACTCGTATCCACGTCCTCTGTCTGGGCAGCGAAAACTTTGCTGATATGTGACTCGGTCGAAGTGACTTTTTTTGGCCCCCTGTAGACTTGGCTACAAATTTGCCTTGGGGTTTTTTGGTATACTTAGCACGGATCACATTCGTTCGTCTGAAACCGCCTATCGATACCCCGGATCACAACGTCCGCAGAGAGTACTAGGGCAAAGACGTCTAACTACCACCCCTCCCCCTGGACAAAATTTCAGAATTGCGATTTGATAAAAAAAATGATGAATAGTTGGGTGCGATTGGACCTTTTCTGTCGAAAATGCTTTTCCAACAACGGAAGTGACAAAAAGCACTGTCCACAACTGATTTCGATGGAGTCGCCAATCGCAAAAACCGCGGAATCATTTATGAGCAGGAGGCCAAAGAATTCTGTTCCGATAGTGTTTCAATATTCTTGTGCCTTACGAGGTTGTTAGGTGGAACATTTATTCAAAAAGGCCTAACGTTTCGACTTAATCGTCGTCTTCAGAGGCCTGAACGTGTTTCAAGTATTAGATTTGCAACCTACCCCACCAAGCACCTCGTCCACTCTAGCGGTTCCGACGTCGTGTCTGTTCTGATTAGTCACTGCATTTGATTGATTTGCCAGTCTTCGCATGCACAAGCTGTACATTCACGTGAAATGGAAGAAAAACTGCTCTCAACCTTCGAGGAGGGTCCTTTCCATGCCCGAAGTCAATGGGCTTACAGTCAAAAGTGCCTGGCAACAGGGCTTAATTTAGTGACACCTGGCTACCGTCAACACCCCGCCCGGGCTATCTTGACGGCGCAACACTTGCGTCAGTGCTAGAGTCCCGCAGCAAAACACCCACTCGGTCCCAGAGAACAACTAGAACTGAGAAGTCGCGGACAGGTAGCGCGTTCGTCTCTGGTTGGGCGTGCGGCTTGCCAGTGCCTGTGCGGGTGGAATATGGAGACTGCTTCTCGGGTATAACCAGTTCCGCCTCCCATAAGGGAAGGACCAGGATTCATGGAGGAAAAGGAACGGTTTGCCTCCGAGCAGAATTCGTCATTTAGCCATGAATTTTGATCAGCCCGTGGGATTCGGAGAAAAAGCGTCATAACTCCGCTCAGAGGACCGCGTTACAGATTTTGAAAGCAGATTTAAGAAGCGCGGGTGAGGAACCGCGTC